ATTTTAAACATATATTGAGCAACTACAGCCATGTAAAAAAAATATTTTTTTCATTTAAGATTTATTATGTTTTAAGTCCTCATGAACACTGGACATTTTTACAGCTGCTGTTTTTGGTTTCTCGCATTGTTTTCTACAGCCAGTAAACTCCCCAGTATGTTATCCTATCTGTTCATGCACACATAGCCTTTAATCAGCATTTTTCGGCAGGAGCGTTTTCTGGCTGGAAATTAAAACCCAGGACAGTGGGTTTCAAGAGGAGTTTTTCAGCTTAAAAATGCTCTAACGCTGATAAAAGCTGAAAAACACTGTTGAAAGCTGAAAAATGCTGATACAACCTGAAAAATGCTAAAAAACATGGCTATCCAGCGTTTATGAGCGTTTTTGAACCTGAAGATTTTGTGAGTATAACTTTGACTAGAAAAAATGCAAACGCTGAATAACACAAAAAAAACACTGAAAAAAAAAACTTACATTTTTATTGCAGCATTCTACAGCTAACTTTACTGGCGTATTTTTAATGTCCAGTGTACATGAAGCCAAAAGTTTATTCAACGTATAGTGTATACAGTATGCAGTCCATGTTGTTGTCGTCTCAATTTCATAATTTTGCCATGCTCTAAGAATTTTTTTTATTATTATCATTCTTCTTCTTATTTATTATTATTATTATTATTATTATTATTATTAATAATAAACAAGATTTATATAGCTTCAACTATTGCTCAGCGCTTTACAATATAATGGGAGACAATACAGCAACAATACAGTTCGATACAAGAGGGTTAGGATGGCCCTGCTCCTTGGTGCTTACGATCTTTGTTGCAATCTATTTTACTCTATAAGCTGTCTAACTGTCCCATTAGGTGTACATCTTGTGCAAAGCTAGGCACCTGGTGTTTGCGAATTGGAGAAAAAGTAGAGCTGCTGCATATAGAAACCAGTCTCATTGCACTAGAAAATGAAATATTCTAATTGTGGTAATAGCTCCACTTTTGTTTCAGTTTGCTTAGTTGTTTTTTTCAAGCAGTGAAAGCACTCTTCCTTAAAATGACATAAACCACAAATAGAATGGGACTAAATATAGATAGAAGATCTCACAGGACTTAGACAAATCCATTCAAAGTGTACATTGTGTTTCAGCTCTCTGGAGTGTCCTGTAGTAGCAACACACTATGACTTCACACTTTCAAAATGTACAAAGTATGTGGGATTGCAAAAATTAAAAAACAAAGAAAAGAAACAGCAGAAAAAAAGTGTTTTGTTTTTTTTTTTGTTAACTTTTTGTCTGAGTATAGATCTATGCTTGTCCCAAGCATGTTTGAAGCTATTTACTGTTGACTGGCTCACTACCTCTACTGAGAGAGTAGTTGATTCTTGGAATAAACTTCCAGCAAAGTAGTACTTTCTGAGATTAGTTTTGAACTTTCCTCCAGTGAGTTTAAAGTCATGTCCCCATGTTCTTGATTTTGGTTTTTTTGAAAATACTGCCCTCCTGAACCTTATTCACCCCCTTGATGTATTTAAAGGTTTCAGTCATGTCTCCCCTTTCCCTTTTTTTCTCCAGACTGTACATGTTAAGTTCCTGAAGTCTCTCTTGATTTGTTTTATCCCCCAGACCTTTCACCATTTTTGTTACTCATCTCTGGACTCTTTCTATCTCATCGATATCTTTTTGTAAGTGAGGTCTCCAGACCTGGACACAGTATTCTAAATGAGGTCTAAATAAAGATCTATATAGGAGAACCAGGACTTCCTTCCTCCTGCTGGTGACCCCTCTAGTAATTCTATTTGTTTTCCCCACTGCCTGGCCACACTATTTACTCATTTTGCAATCATTTGAAATAAGTACCCCCAAGTCCTTTTCCTCTGAAGTGCTGGCCAACACTGTACCTCCAATGTTGTACTCTCTCAAGGGATTCTTTTTGCCTAGGTGCATTATTTTACATTTAGAACTTAAATTTCCACTTTCTTGACCAATCTTCCAGTAATGCCAAATCATGGTCCACGTTACAGACACCTCCAGGGATATCAACCCTATTACACACCTTTGTGTCATCAGCAAAAAGACATACCTTACCAAACAAACCTTTAGTTATATCACTTAAATATAGATTAAACAGAACAGGACCTAGAGCTTTGTGGTACACCACTACTGACTGGTCTCTGGTTCATGGTGAGTGAACCCCATTTACAACCACGCTCTGGTATATATCCTTTAGCCAGCTGCATATCCACTGAACCACCCAAGGGTTAAGTCCTAGCTTGTACAACTTTTGTATTAGATCATTATGTGGAACTGTATTAAATGCCTTGCTGAAATCAAGATATGCTATGTCCACAGCACCACCCTGGTCCAAAACATTGGTAATATAGTAAAAAAATCCAACCAGATTAGTCTGACATGATCTGCCCTCAGTAAAGACATGCTGCTTTGGGTCCAGCAAGTCCTGTGTTTTTAAGTGATCCTTCTTTTCAGGAGTGATTCCATTACCTTAACTACAACCAATGTTAAAGTCACTGGCCTGTAATTGCCAGCTTCTACCTTTCTGTCCTTGTGGATAGGTACAATATTAGCTGCCCGCCAGTCATGGGTAACTTCTCCTGTTAGCAGAGATTGATTAAAAAGATCTGTTAATTGTCCAACTACTATACCTTGAAGTTCTTTTAGAACTCTGGGATGAATATCATCAGGGTCTATTGCTTTAACCGAGCCAGTTCCTCTGCTATTTCTGTCTCCGGAAATCATAAAAATGAACCATCATTACTAGAACCAATATGAATTCCCAACTTATTGTTAGTATAATTTATTTCTGAGAAGACTGAACAAAAGTAATTGTTTAAGTGGTTTGTTACATCTAGGTCTCCCTTAACATAAGTGTTGTGCCCAGTTTTCATTTTAGTGATCCCATCGTATTTTTCTTTCTATCACTAATGTACCTAACATAAAAATCACATCAACAATTATTTTAAGGCACAAATTTTAATAGTCACTAATCTCTGTGCACTGCAGGTAGATCATATTCTCCCTTGAATGCTGAATGGTAGGTATAAATTTTGTTGCACAGTCACATTGGTCCAGCTTGGACCAATGCATTCCATACCCGTAGGTGCCACGTAGAAACTGGAAATCATAGAAGTCTCTGCTTGCTTGTTAGCCGCCTGTGATAGGAATACAGTTAAATGAAAAATAAAAAAGTGTTAAAAATGTAAATTATATTACAAAGGATTATAAGAACGTGTAAATGGACAATTTTGTGCCAGACATGTTTGGTATCTATTTACTTGATGCAGCTTGGACCAATGTATTCCATACCCGTAAGTTCCGCATAGAAAATGGAAATCATAGTCGTCTCTGCTACTACAGCGATGGCCACTGTCTTCTGGGTCTTGTGCCAAGTGGCTCCCATGCTGCATAGAAGGTCACTGGCTCCGCACTGATGTGCAATAAAATTCGTACCTGGATTTTATCCTTAAACCATACACCAAGGTATATTTCTACATTTTCAGGTACTAAAGGGGTTAAGATAAGATCACAGCTGCTGCAGTGCCCTTGATATTGATATTTATTTTCAAGAAAAAGTGGTAATTTTTACTAGAAAAATGCTATCCACCCCTCACTATCAGTGGCTCCCAGGCTCTCCAGCTTACCAGAAGAGCCTGCAACCACAATAAAATGTCCTATTTTTGAGAGCAAGATCAGATTGGGGAAATCCTTTCCCAAGTCTCCTTTGTGACTACTAAGCCCAGAAGCGATATGTATTACTTCACATCCGGGTTAAGAGCTGTCATTAGGCAGCTAATCAAGCACAATATGTGGAGGGCAGGAGACATTAGGGGTTCAATAGATCCCTGATGTCTCTATAAAAAGAACTTTCACCTTTCCACGTGATAACATAGGGGGTTTGTTAGCCCCTGTGATAGCAATACAGTTAAATGAAAAATAAAAAAGTGTTGAAAATTAAATTATATTACAAAAAATAAAAATAATAGGAAATTGTAAATGCACCCCCTATGGACAATTTTGTGTACAATCGCTTTTTTTTTGCAATTTCATGGGTCTGTTATATATTCACTCAATGCAATCCCTTCCTTTCGATCTCACCAGAAAATTGGGTCTTATATTGTGCATGTATGCACTAAAATACATTTTTAATGTATTGTTCCTGAAAGTAAGTGTTTCATAATAAACAGTTGGTGCAACTAATATCATGCAACATAAAAAACTGCACTTAGCACTTTTTTTTATTCTGTATATGGTATATGCTTTCAGAAAATATATATAATTTTTTTATGCACATTTTTAAAGTGTAACTAAAAAAAATAAAAAATTGCCCTGGTTTAAAAGTGGAAAGATGAATATAATTTGTTTTCAATTACTGACCAACATGAATGAAATGGTAGTTAAAAAAGGCTTTTATTATTGGCTCTGCCTCATGTAAATCAAGGTGTTCATTTAAATCCAGCTACAGTCTTAAAAAATAAAAAATAAAAAAAGGTGGTTAAATTACAGATTGGAAATAAATGTTGATTTTCTTTCCACTGAAAACAGGTTAACATAACACAAACTATACAGGGAGCACACTTAAATGTGACAAGTTGCGCAATGTTTTAAATGCACAAATACTATTTACTTACTTGGGAAAACATAAAATGTGGCATGTGTGGGCGCACTGATCGTCAGCATCTAATAACGCCATTTCTGGCAAAAATCACAACTTCAGAAAGTTTTCTTTTCTAGTATAAGGAATCTTTTCTTACCTTTTTCTTAGTTAACACTTCCAGTCCACACTTTTTTGGTTGTCCTGCGTGCACTTATGAAATTAAAAATTTAAAAAAAAAAAAAAAATACTTTTTGTTATTAAGATTAGAGATGAGCGAAGTATTCAAAAATTCGATTCGGCTGATTCGGCGAATTCGAGGAATAAATTCGATTCGAGGCGAATATATTCGCTGCGAATTTAACTTATAAAAGGGTGTTTCTAGGCTTCAGAGAGCCTTTATATTAGTGCAGAACACTGTACCTTTAATTTAAATGCCCTTGGAGTCTGCTGGGGAAGAGAAATAATACTGTCAGTCAGTATAACATGCAGATGAGTGCCGTCGATCTTAGAATCACCGCACACTTCACTCATTTGGGCAGTCACGGGGCCAAAACCAGAGTGTGGAGCCACAGTGTGGCGGTGGAGGCAGCAGCAATGGGAGGCCATACAGCACCCTATGACAAAAATGGAACCCACCAGCAGTGTGAGGAGACCTGAAAGTGGCACATGGCAGAGTGTGGCGATGGAGACAGCAGCAATGGGAGGCCGTACAGGGACCCATGACACACTCTGGACCTGGCAGCAGCATGAGGAGGCGGTACAGGGGCCCATGGCAGATTACAGGCCTGGCAGCAGCAATGGGAGGCCCGTAATCTGCCAGCACCCTATGACAAAATGGAACACACCAGCAGTGTGAGGAGACCTGAAAGTGGCACATGGCAGAGTGTGGCGATGGAGACAGCAGCAATGGGAGGCCGTACAGGGACCCATGACAGATTACGGGCCTGGCAGCAGCATGAGGAGGCGGTACAGGGGCCCATGGCAGATTACGGGCCTGGCAGCAGCAATGGGAGGCCCGTAATCTGCCAGCACCCTATGACAAAATGGAACCCACCAGCAGTGTGAGGAGACCTGAAAGTGGCACATGTTTGGGGCATGATTCATGGCGGATTTAGTCAGTTGTGTCAGGAACTGGTGGTTTGAAATCCAGACTAATCCACGCCTGATTCATTTTCACAAACGTGAGTCTCTCCACACTTTGGGGACAGTCGTGTCCTCCGCGGAGTTACAATACCTCCTGCCGCACTAAACACGCGCTCCGATGCCACGCTACTGGCCGGGCATGACAGCCTTTCAAGGGCAAATTCAGCTAGTTGGGGCCAAAGGTCAAGTTTCGTTGCCCAGTAGTCAAGGGGATTGTCTACCTCGGTTGGCAGGGTGCTGTCCAAGTAGGCCCAAGCCTGTTGTTTGAGGTCCTGCTCCAGGTCCACCTGATGCTGCTGCTGCTGCTGCTGCGGCTGGTTAGTAGTTTCCTCACTGCGCTGGTGAAGAAAGCTACTCATCATCGACTGCAGACTGAGGCAGCCGCTGCTGGTGGAGCTGCCACTGCTCCTACCACCCCACCCCTCCCCTGCTGCCATGGCAGCGGAACGCGAGCGCACAGGGCCCACAGTGTCTGAGGATGGACGTTGGCGCAGAAAGGCAGAGACCAACTGACTACATAGGTGGTGTTTTTATAGTACTTTATTTTGGCCTCCCTCTCAGCAGGTGTGAAAAAGGCCACCATTTTTGAACGGTAGCGAGGGTCCAACAAGGTGGACAGCCAAAAGTCATCCCTCTGTCTTATGGTTATTATTCGGCTGTCGCTACGCAAGCAACCGAGCATGCTATGGGCCATTTGTGCCAAGGAATGCGAGGGACTCCCTGCCTCCATCTCCACAGCATACTGCCACGGTGCGTCTGGGTCCTCTGTCTCCTCCTCCTCCTCTACCAGATGCTCCTGCTCCTCCACTCCTGTCCGCTGAGTGGAAAAACCACCCATTTCACTCAATAATTCCTGAGCACCAATGTCCTCCTCTACATCCTCCTCTTCTTCCTGTCCTGCCTCCACAGGGGTCATGTGGCGTTGAGATCTGTGCGCCACGTCTACCGCACACTCTGACCAGCCATTGTTAACAGCATTTGTTCCAGGACGTGCAACAGAGGAATGACGTCGTTCATCCCATAGTCCTGCCGACTCACGAATAGCGTGGCCACCTCAAAGGGCCTGAGCAAGCGGCAGGTGTCACGCATGAGCTGCCAATGGCTGACATCGAAGTTACACAGGGGAGTACCTTTATCCGCTTGTAACATCAGGAAATCGGTGATGGCCTTTCGCTGTTCGTAAAGGTGGTCTAACATATGTAGGGTTGAATTCCACCTTGTTGCAACGTCACAGCATGAGGAGGCGGTACGGGGGCCCATGGCAGATTACGGGCCTGGCAGCAGCAATGGGAGGCCCGTAATCTGCCAGCACCCTATGAAAAAATGGAACACACCAGCAGTGTGAGGAGACCTGAAAGTGGCACATGGCAGAGTGTGGCGATGGAGACAGCAGCAATGGGAGGCCGTACAGGGACCCATGAGAGACTCTGGACCTGGCAGCAGCATGAGGAGGCGGTACGGGGGCCCATGGCAGATTACGGGCCTGGCAGCAGCAATGGGAGGCCCGTAATCTGCCAGCACCCTATGACAAAATGGAACACACCAGCAGTGTGAGGAGACCTGAAAGTGGCACATGGCAGAGTGTGGCGATGGAGACAGCAGCAATGGGAGGCCGTACAGGGACCCATGAGACACTCTGGACCTGGCAGCAGCATGAGGAGGCGGTACGGGGGCCCATGGCAGATTACGGGCCTGGCAGCAGCAATGGGAGGCCCGTAATCTGCCAGCACCCTATGACAAAATGGAACACACCAGCAGTGTGAGGAGACCTGAAAGTGGCACATGGCAGAGTGTGGCGATGGAGACAGCAGCAATGGGAGGCCGTACAGGGACCCATGAGACACTGTGGACCTGGCAGCAGCATGAGGAGGCGGTACGGGGGCCCATGGCAGATTACAGGCCTGGCAGCAGCAATGGGAGGCCCGTAATCTGCCAGCACCCTATGACAAAATGGAACACACCAGCAGTGTGAGGAGACCTGAAAGTGGCACATGGCAGAGTGTGGCAATGGAGACAGCAGCAATGGGAGGCCGTACAGGGACCCATGAGACACTCTGGACCTGGCAGCAGCATGAGGAGGCGGTACGGGGGCCCATGGCAGATTACGGGCCTGGCAGCAGCAGCATGGGAGGCCCGTAATCTGCCAGCACCCTATGACAAAATGGAACACACCAGCAGTGTGAGGAGACCTAAAAGTGGCACATGGCAGAGTGTGGCGATGGAGACAGCAGCAATGGGAGGCCGTACAGGGACCCATTAGACACTGTGGACCTGGCAGCAGCATGAGGAGGCGGTACGGGGGCCCATGGCAGATTAGGGGCCTGGCAGCAGCAATGGGAGGCCCGTAATCTGCCAGCACCCTATGACAAAATGGAACCCACCAGCAGTGTGAGGAGACCTGAAAGTGGCACATGGCAGAGTGTGGCGATGGAGACAGCAGCAATGGGAGGCCGTACAGGGACCCATGAGACACTCTGGACCTGGCAGCAGCATGAGGAGGCGGTAGGGGGTACGGGGGCCCATGGCAGATTACAGGCCTGGCAGCAGCAATGGGAGGCCCGTAATCTGCCAGCACCCTATGACAAAAAATGGAACACACCAGCAGTGTGAGGAGACCTGAAAGTGGCACATGGCAGAGTGTGGCAATGGAGACAGCAGCAATGGGAGGCCGTACAGGGACCCATGAGACACTCTGGACCTGGCAGCAGCATGAGGAGGCGGTACGGGGGGCCCATGGCAGATTACGGGCCTGGCAGCAGCAATGGGAGGCCCGTAATCTGCCAGCACCCTATGACAAAATGGAACACACCAGCAGTGTGAGGAGACCTGAAAGTGGCACATGGCAGAGTGTGGCGATGGAGACAGCAGCAATGGGAGGCCGTACAGGGACCCATGAGACACTCTGGACCTGGCAGCAGCATGAGGAGGCGGTACGGGGGCCCATGGCAGATTACGGGCCTGGCAGCAGCAATGGGAGGGCCCGTAATCTGCCAGCACCCTATGACAAAATGGAACATAGTGTGAGGAGACCTGAAAGTGGCACAAAATGGAACACACCAGCAGTGTGAGGAGACCTGAAAGTGGCACATGTTTGGGGCATGATTCATGGGCGGATTTAGTCAGTTGTGTCAGGAACTGGTGGTTTGAAATCCAGACTAATCCACGCCTGATTCATTTTCACAAACGTGAGTCTCTCCACACTTTGGGTGGACAGTCGTGTCCTCCGCGGAGTTACAATACCTCCTGCCGCACTAAACACGCGCTCCGAGCCACGCAGCTACTGGCCGGGCATGACAGCCTTTCAAGGGCAAATTCAGCCCCCCCCCCCAAAGGTCAAGTTTCGTTGCCCAGTAGTCAAGGGGGGTTACCTCGGTTGGCAGGGTGCTGTCCAAGTAGGCCCAAGCCTGTTGTTTGAGGTCCTGCTCCAGGTCCACCTGATGCTGCTGCTGCTGCTGCGGCTGGTTAGTAGTTTCCTCACTGCGCTGGTGAAGAAAGCTACTCATCATCGACTGCAGACTGAGGCAGCCGCTGCTGGTGGAGCTGCCACTGCTCCTACCACCCCACCCCTCCCCTGCTGCCATGGCAGCGGAACGCGAGCGCACAGGGCCCACAGTGTCTGAGGATGGACGTTGGCGCAGAAAGGCAGAGACCAACTGACTACATAGGTGGTTTTTATAGTACGTTATTTTGGCCTCCCTCTCAGCAGGTGTGAAAAAGGCCACCATTTTTGAACGGTAGCGAGGGTCCAACAAGGTGGACAGCCAAAAGTCATCCCTCTGTCTGATGGTTATTATTCGGCTGTCGCTACGCAAGCAACCGAGCATGCTATGGGCCATTTGTGCCAAGGAATGCGAGGGACTCCCTGCCTCCATCTCCACAGCATACTGCCACGGTGCGTCTGGGTCCTCTGTCTCCTCCTCCTCCTCTACCAGATGCTCCTGCTCCTCCACTCCTGTCCGCTGAGTGGAAAAACCACCCATTTCACTCAATAATTCCTGAGCACCAATGTCCTCCTCTACCTCCTCCTCTTCTTCCTGTCCTGCCCCCACAGGGGTCATGTGGCGTTGAGATCTGTGCGCCACGTCTACCGCACCCTGACCAGCCATTGTTAACAGCATTTGTTCCAGGACGTGCAACAGAGGAATGACGTCGTTCATCCCATAGTCCTGCCGACTCACGAATAGCGTGGCCTCCTCAAAGGGCCTGAGCAAGCGGCAGGTGTCACGCATGAGCTGCCAATGGCTGACATCGAAGTTACACAGGGGAGTACCTTTATCCGCTTGTAACATCAGGAAATCGGTGATGGCCTTTCGCTGTTCGTAAAGGCGGTCTAACATGTGTAGGGTTGAATTCCACCTTGTTGCAACGTCGCAGATCAGGCGATGCTGTGGAATTCCGTTCTGCCGCTGCAGCTCAAGGAGGGTGTGCTTTGCGGTGTAGGAATGGCTGAAATGCATGCAAAGTTTACGTGACATTTTAAGGATGTCTTGCAGTGGGATGGTGGATTTTAGGAACCGCTTGACAACCAGATTGAACACGTGAGCCATGCATGGCGCATGGCACAACCTTCCTTGACGCAGAGCAGACACCATGTTCTTTCCGTTGTCGGTCAACATGGTTCCGATTTCAGTTTGCGCGGAGACAGCCATCTGTCGATTTTCTCTGTTCATTACACTCAGAAGTTCCTCCCCTGTGTGACTACGTTCGCCAAGGCATACCAGGTGCAGCACAGCGTGACACCGTTGCGCCCTGCACATGTGATATGCCGGTCGGGTAATGGGACTTGGCACGGGGGTGGCGGCTGAGGACACGGCGGAAGAAGAGGTGGTAGAGGGGGACATCTTTGCCGGACCAAGGACGTGCAAACGTGGAGGCAAAAGCGGCGTGACCTGTCCAAGTTGCTGGTGCGGCTGTGCCGGCACCACGTTCACCCAGTGGGCCGTAAATGACATGTACTGTCCCTGACCGTAGTTACAGCTCCACACGTCGGCGCTGCCGTGCACTTTGGCAGAGACCGACATGCTCAAAGACTGGCCCACCCATCTCTTCTACATGTGAATGCAGGGCTGGCACTGCCTTTTTGGCGAAGAAATGACGGCTTGGCACTCTCCACCGCGGCGCGACACAAGCCATCATTTCTCGGAAAGGTGCTGAGTCCACCACTTGGAAAGGGAGGGACTGCAGCACCAGCAACTTGGACAGGAGGACGTTCAGCTTCTGCACCGTCGGGTGCGTGCTCGCAAACTGTTGTCTCTTGGAAACGGATTCCAAGAAAGACTGCTGACGGAATCCGTGAAGAGGAGTAGCAAGAGAAGGAGCATCTGAACGAGCGGAAGATGCCAACGAGCGACAACTCCCCTCAGCAGAGGTGTTGGAGCCTTGACTGGCTGATAGAGGGCGATTGACGTCGGGTGACGGAGCAAGTAACGGAGCGGGTGATGGAGCGGGGGCTGGGGCGGCAGAACCGCCGTATCTTTATCACGGTTTTCCCAGGCCACCAAATGGCGACGCTGCATATGCTGCCGCAACGCTGTAGTCCCAACATGGGCCCCCTGGCCACGCTTGACTTTCTGGCCACATTGTCGACATACGGCTACGTTTACTTCCTCGGGCGGCTTGACGAAAAATTGCCACACCGCCGAGTAGGAAACTTTGCCCCCGCTACTCCTCACTGGCTGACTGCTACTTCCGCCGTGCACACCGGCACCACTACTGGCCGTGGTGGTAGGCTGCAGTGGAGCTGGTGCTCTACTCCGTGGCCGTTTGCCTCCACTGACACTGCTGCGACCCTGCTGCCTCCTGGGCAACCCACCGACTGTTTTGCTCGCTGCCAAGCTGCCACCCTCTTCTCCTGATGATGCGGAAGCAATAGCCTGATGACGACGAGGCTGCCAAGTGCGATCAGCCTCATCATCATCAATTAGGGTCTCCGCCTCACTACTAGCCCCTTCGGCTGCGTGTGGGTCAGGAGACAGACCTGTCTCTAGACCGGCTACCGAGCCACTCCTCGCCAGTACTTCTTCGCCTGGCTGCTGAAGAGGCGGATGTCTCCCCCCGTTCCTGACCACCCTCTGTTAGCTCTTCCTCACTGTACAGTGGGGCTGAGCCCACAGCATGCGATACTTCGCTTGGTGAGGGAATACCAAAGGACAGGGGCAGGTAGAGGACACCTGATTTCAGTGGGCTTGCTCCCGGGCCATGCCAACTAACGGTTTGTGTCTGACGTACCCACCGACCGTTGGCTGTAGGTGTCAGAGGTGACCTGGGAAGAGGAAGACGACCGAGTCAACCAATCGATGACGGCAGGGTTGTCGGTGGAGACACGACCGCTGGATGACACCGGGAGCACTGGCCTCTGGCTGCGACTAGTGCTGCCTCGACCCCTTCCTCTGCTGCCACGTCTGCTCGCTCCTAAAACATTGCCTCCTCTGCCACTCCTCTGCATGTTGTCTGACATACTCTTTAATTCAAAGATTCTGTGTCCCTGAGTAACAATTCTGTGTCCCTCAGTAACAATTCTGTGTCCCTCAGTAACAATTTTGTGTCTGTCCCTGAGTAACAATTCTGTGTCCCTGAGTAACAATTCTGTGTCCCCGAGTAACAATTCTGTGTCCCTGAGTAACAATTCTGTGTCCCTGAGTAACATATCTGTGTCCCTCAGTAACAATTCTGTGTCCC